AACTAATTGAGCTCCTAGATTAAAACGGGTTGAATTAAATTGTGTATAAAAAGATTTCTTGGTTGACCGAGTTTGTATAACAGCTATTTCATTACTGTTTCAATACTTACTTGCCTTTCAATGCTTTTCATTATGAAGTATCACTTACCGTATGGATCACTTTGTGGAAGATTTTGGTCTGCTTAGAGATAATTGGTTTCTTTTAATTTTAAATACACATACACTAGAAGTTTCTATAGATTATCCTAAATAATATGGGGGTTGATTATAAATATGTTTATTATTTAATAACGAATATTAGTCCATTTGGAGTACCTACCTCTTTTTCTCAATTTTTTACGCTAGCATGATGATCCTAAATAAACTGCTGATACTAGTTTTGCTTTTCTAGTTAAACTTATATATTTATGGAGGAGGTATTTTTTATTTTCCTTTAATTTTGTGTCCCGTAAAAATTTAAATTGTATGTGTGCTTAATATATGTTAGATTGATCAATCAAAAAATAACACTCCCAAGGATTGTAAAAACTTCTTAAGCTGCGAGTATACCATAAAAAGTAATTTTAAAATTAAATTTTACATTTTGTCTTACGAATTAAACAAAAAGATACTCTTTTAACAAATCTTACGTAACAGTAGCTTAAAAACTACTTTCGTTTACTCAAGAGCAAACGAGCAGTTAAATCTGAATTTACAAACATAATCGGAATTGGAATGAAATGTTTGGATTCGTCCAAACATTTTTAACGGCGGGATAACGACCAATAAAAGAAAACAAACAAACATCGTGGTGTAAATATTGGCAACCATGGGAGGCGCCTTATGTTTGGGTTTACCAAGACTTTAGTAGTTGTGTAACAGTGGTTCTGAAACTTGTTCAAGTTGTGTCTAGAACCATAGATAAAAGGAGTATAGACACTACAACCTTGCCTTAACTACGGTTATAAATATGAAATGAAATATTGTACACCATTAAATATATGTATGATTTATTCAGTATGATTATTTTTTTTACATGACGTTGGCATCCGGTAAATTCAGTTTAATTTTCAATTAAACTTGGCTTATTATATAAACCATAAATGCATGTATTTATGCCTGACCAAAAAAAAGCTTAACAGCTATTGAACTGCCGTTGTTGAAATTTAGTTGAAAGCAATTATCAGTACCTGTAATTTCATAGACTATTTACTTATGGTTGGAATAGTAGTAGAAATATATGAGTTCTGATATTTTAATTTTATTTTATGTAAAATATTTATTCAATGTTTCATTACTAACATGTTCAATTAATTTCAGTATTCGTGGTAAATATTTTATTTCAAACGTATTGGCTTGAGTGTGGCAATATGTTATTTATAATATTTTAGCAGCTTATTGTAGTAGTTTAAGTATTAATATTGATTATTGATGTAACTATGAGAGGCATCCAGTTCCTAAATAAATTATTAACCACAGCAAACAAGTAAATCTAATTCGTATCCACTTAGACAAACCTTCAGCCAAAATTATTTTTCTTATGTATACGTCAATTTAAATTTAAATTGTTGCCACGAATTATCAATAGAAGGAACACATTAATTTAATTTAATCGAACAATTAGATTAAGTTATTTTGTTTTAAAAATCAAATGAATTGATTTTAGCGAAATAAGTCACTAAAAAATCACGTTTTTTAATTCAGGACATCGAAAATTCTGTATACATATTCTGTTGTTGAAATATGTATTTTTTCACTAATGCGTACTGAATAGTAGAAAATTTCATAATAAGATCGTGCATTTTCAACGATTCTTAATATTTTTAAGATGATAGGATGAAAAACCCAATCAAAAATGTATTACTCTTTAGAAATTATTTTTGTTTATATTTCATTGTTCATGATTATGACATTAATTCAACTGTCGTGGATATATGAATGTTTCCAATATAGCTTGAATCCAAGAAATGCGTGTTCATCATTTTCTGTGTGGACAGTGGATATTTATCCCTTATAATTTATATTTTTTACATTATTCCTTTTTTAACGTAACTAATTTATTTTGAGCCATCGCGGTACGGGGCTCCGGCTCTGCCTGGGGTTTTACCAATCATCTCAACCGATGTTCCTTCACACCCAAAGGAGTCAGATCCAGTATTCCAGAACGTTGTTAATACCATACTTAACTGATCAGTGATGGGAAATTCACATAAAACCCCTTTTCATAGTATTTTGTTATTATAAATTATTGAAATACGTTGTTTTAGATTATACGTTATCTCAAACTGCTCAATAAAAACATGTATATCTAATTAGCTCATTCTAAAAGGAACTCATAGATCAACATTTCTATAAAACACATATAGCTCTTAAACAGCAGTTCACAAAGTGTTTCCCACAGTCACCACTGTTAACACCCACTAGTAAGACAAATCTGTATCAGATTTATCCCCAATCAGGCCACCCCAGCCCTTGCACTAAATCATGATTATTTTGTGGTCAGTGACAGCCATAAATCTGAATAAGACAACCCCTCTCGACCTTCCCACTTCACGCTCAAATCTCTGTGCTGACGGAAAGATTAATAGCTATCTGAGGGATTTCTTGGCTTATATGGCTGGAAACATTAATGTATTCAAACATTTAAACACGTAAGTTCATTTAAAGAATTTAGTATGAGTAAGTAAAAAATGTATTTTAAATAAGATTAAAATTGTATCTGTATTGGAAAACAATTAATCACTTGTGTAGCATTTATTCATTTATTTATTTATTTATTTATTTATTTATTCATTTATTTATTTATTCATTTATTTATTCCAACGGGAAACCCATTACATTGATACATTACAAAGAAATAACAATAAAATAAAAAATCAAACATCATGTAGCATACTCCTACAGTAATTCAATTGAACCAAAGGTTTTTTATTCAATTGGCTAAAATTAAACAAGAGTATGGCATTTTTTTCCCAAATTGTTCTATATTTATCAAAATAAATCACTGAGATTTTTTAAATAACAATCATTACCATGGGACACAACTTAAAATTATTTAAGTAATTGAGTTATTAGAGGATATCGATATTTTAAAACGAAGATTCTGTACGGCCTTAAATCCTGATATGAAACTAAGCAAATTTACTTAACTATCTCAAATTTATCTTGATGTACTCCTATTATTTTGACCAATGTACGTTTTGCCAATGCTGCTGTTCGTTATTCGGTAAATCTTGAAATTTGAAGCCATACAGCATCTTGCTGAACATAAACTACCTTTAGTACATTAGGAACTACCTTATGAAAACATTCTCGTGCTGTAGCTAGTTCTTAATACAAAAGTAAGAAAGATAAATTGAGTAACCAATTAGTTTGTGGTAAAATACCATGGATAAAATCCATCTATGATTGACTTTCATTATGTGATTAGACTTTTCAACACATTATGAAATAAAGTTTTGTAGTTTTACTTATGGTTGGTTACTCATAAAATTGATGTCAAAAAATGACATTTCTTAGGGGTATGTTACAATGTTATTTCCCGTTTTCGCCATAACATCATAGGGCAAGCAAAATTGAAAAAAAGTTTTATTTAGGTAAATTAGCTTTTTTTTAGATATTTTCAAATCATTCCTATTGCTTGTATGTGGTCACTATTCACAGCTGTATAAATGGCTAAATTGAATATAAATTGTGACAATATATTTGCCTCTTCATGGACTAATTACTTACAGCTGTATGACCTGACAGTGTTCATAAAGCCGATTATTGCAGACAGCTCTGATTGAGTTAAGTTTATACTGGCGAGACACGTCGTAACTTTGATTTCGCCAACAGACGGACCAATTACAACTCGAGTTTATTGCTGTTTGCTTAACAAGATGTGTAGTGTTTGTCGGGACGTAACTTACAGAATCAACAAACGCTATCAGCGAGGTCTTCATTGAAAACAAATTAATTAGCATTGGAACGGATGAAGAGTGAGTCCCAGTACGGTAGACAACAATGAGATATATTTGAAGTACAATCTTTTGAGGTAAGCTATTCATATATACTGTTAATAGTAAAACAGTGTAGGCCTACTTTACCTGTGTTTGTAATAATAAGGCCTAAGTAATTGCCACGTGGCATAGTGAAATGTTTTATTTTATATGGTTTTCTCTAAGTGGTAATGACTCTTGAGGGGTATTTTAAAACCAACTCAAAGAGATTTGTTAGCTACGTTTCTTCCTTCTATTTTGATGTGCATACTAATTAACATAACAGCTACCAAAATTTAACCTCTAGGTTTTAAAGTACAACACACGTAATGTTAACATTTTAAAAGGTGCTTGAATATAATATGAGACTTTTCCTCGTCACTTCGTTGGATATGGTTGGTTTTAACAAAGGTACAGCGGTTACATGTTTTGCCGTCCTACTTAACTCTAAGTTACATGTGTGTAGGGTTTACAGTCTACTATATTGCGTTCTTAGGCTGTTGCAACAACACTAAAGGCACGCACAGTACATGTCGGAGCTTACTAAGAATGTTAAAGCACAACGTTTGTGCTTGTTATACACATTTTAGTCGTTACACAGTTTTATTTTAAGGTTTTTAACACAATTTGAACTACTGCGTTGCTTTTTGAAGAGGAAATTATCAAGTGAGTTTTCTTGCTGAAATACGTACTTGTTAAATAAAAAAAACCCCCTACGGCTTGAGATGGGTTCCAAACCAAAAATTGGTGGTAGGCGGAATTCGAATCAGGAACTCCAATACATAAGTTTGCATCCTAACAACCAGATCAATCCCTCAAGAAAATTTACATAAGCAAATACAATTAGTACAACTTTGCTATTGCAAACATTAAGACAAATGTTATTAATCCATTGTTTAAGTACCTACTGTTCTTCTTACTGATAGCCTTAGAAAAAAAACATCAGTGCTTTTATAGCACGCACATAGTATTTGCACATTCAATTTGTCATTAATACTGACGTAATTTTGAGGATAAATTATCAGGCATGGACACAAAATATATCAAAACTAAGTTATACTGTAGTATTTATTGGAAGATATTAACAAGGATTGATAGTCTACCTGAATATATTTGTAGATCGTCAACTGTTGAACTGCTACGTACCATTCTGCAGTGGCGGATTAATCTTTGTTTACTTTGATGTTGTACTGAAACATTAAAGTAAGCTGGTATGTTAAGCTACAGTAACAAAAATTGAAGAGCAATTAACTTATATTTATGTAGAAGGATAATAGTTTGAGCTTAAAATTGCAAAAACCATATACTAGATACAGTTTTGCTTCTATTTTTTAATCTTATCTTTTGGTTTGTAATAAAAAAAAAACTTTTAACGTAATATTCCAAATAATATTTTTTATTTATCTCATAATGGAGTGTGAACAAATTATTATTCAATTTTAAAATTGTTATTACCGGTATCATATTTAGTTCCGATATTTTTTACAGCTTTGTAGCATTGCCAATGATGCAAACAAGCTTTGAAATAACACATGTAGAAACAGAGTTTTTAACAAGAAATTATCTGCGTAGGCCTACTTAATACTAATTTTGTTAACTGACTAACCATAATAACCATAATAAGCTGTGAAAGAAAAAGCCGTTTTAAATACATTTCAAATATCATTGCCTTTCTCTAGTAAGTAGAGTAAACGTCTATGAATGACATTTTAACTAACTTTTTAAAATGCAGTTTAAAAGTAAATGTTGGGGGTATAAGACTATATACCTCACAGTTGCAAAGACTGTTTCGTAAAAAGTCATAAAAGGGATTCTGCACATCTACAGGCAAATGTATTTCTAACAGTATGCTTAAATTTTCTCTGCGATACACACGAACTGATAAAAATGGTTTTCAAGAACATCCTTGCCTATTAATATATAAGATTAAAAAGCTAAAGCACGTTCTATTACAACACTATTTAACTAAAACACTGAGTTAAAACAGTTATTACAAAAGATCATACAAAAACTAAACAATAGTCAAACTAACCTGAACAAATTTGGCTCTTGCACAAGTGAGATGTTTGACTGCAGCTTCACATCTGTCCAAACCTTCTACATCTGGAAAAATTGAGTTTTTATTGGTTATTCGGTTAGTTATGAAATACCAGGTTCTATTCATACAGTAACTAAGTAGTTGATTTCAATGTTTTTCCAGAAGTTTTGAATTTTCACATGTCTATGTCAAAGTGCTACAAATTGTACTGATATTTTTATTTATGCATTTAACCTCAATATTACATCCGAAAAAATCCAGTGGGCAGTTTTCGCTGGTTCCACCCTGAGAATACCAATTTCTTTTTTAGTACAATATTTACATCAGTAGCTAGAAGGCTACAGCTGATTAACTCGATGCAGGCGACTTAAAAACCATATTCAAAATGTCCATCTAGCCTATGTTATTATCTGTCTTACAGTGCAATTTAAAGAATATCCCTTACCGATTTTGCTGCATTCGTCTGCCGATGCCATTGCCTTTTCTATCATTTCGGGCTGTTCCTCTAATAACTCGCTAAAATACTCTTTTGTTCCTTCTCTGTTGTATTTCCCTTCTGAATCGTACTGTAAAGTAAATACGAAATTAAAGTACAACTATAAGATTTTGTGGGTAAGGGGATACAGTTTCAGTTCAAATGTTAACAATAATTTTACTTAAGCGTTCATAGTTTTGATTCGCTTGGCAGTCTATTAAAATTTAAAACAACAGGTAATTTTTGTTAGTTTGATAATAATTATAATTCAAAGTTTATCGTTATACCTTTATATAATACTTGTGCAACCAACTTTTTTTATATAGGAAATTATTAGATTAAAACTGAAATGGTTGTTTGTTTTCCTTTTGAAGTTTTATATTCATTACTAAAAGCGTTTGTATTTATGCAAATCACTATAAAAATGTATATAATTCAATTCAATTAAATTGATTTTTTTCCAAAAACTACAAATTTACAAAACACATACAATTTAGCTACCAAAACCATTTATGCAGCAATTATCATATTTTTTGTTTTATTATTTTTCAGTGCTTTTTTATTCAATCAGTCTTTTGTTTCCCTTGTTTTTCTGTAAGTAAACTATACCATGACATAGAGTTCAATAATAGACCAAACCAATCATTGAATTTAAAGTAGTCAGATTTTAACAATAATTGATAAACAATGAAAAAGTAACAGTAATAAATGAATTTAATAATTAATAAACTATTAAAAAGTAACAATAATAAACATTTGGAACAGTGAACAACAATGATAAAATATAATGAAACACAGTTATTTTCAACTCAGATCTAGATATAAATTATTTAACTTCATCTTTAAAACTCGCCAGTAACATATATTCCTCAGCTGTACCGCTTGTATTTAACAAGAATTGTATATGTATACCATGAGTGTGCATATTAAATATGATTTTTATAGAGATGTGTAGTTGCTTAAATAGTTGGTACTCAAGCATCCCAAAATGCTAAGAAAGATGGAATGTTAATGAACATTGATAAAGAATTGATTATAGTAGGCGGAAGCATATCAACGTTTTATATCAATTTTGCAACCCATGTCTTTAACATTACTATATTGAGCTTTTAAGAAGTATTTTGATTCTTAATAATCAAAGGAACAAATATTACACAGGGCTAACTATGTTTTATTTTCTTATTTTTGTAGCCTACATATTAAAAACATTTTTTATCCGTCACAATATTTATGCCAGACCAAGTCAAACGTCCTTTTGACTGTATTGTATCTTTTATTTTTTAAACTTGTAAATTGTTATTTAAAATAATGACACTACCTTTTATCATCAAAGGAATATTACTAATATTCTGTAATCTTCCCTCTTGGAATAATTATTTATTAAGTGTTTTTTATGTCTAACATAATTACTATAAGGAAATGAAACTGAGAGTAGTTAATATTGACAGTGTTAAAGAAATTGTACGAAAAACTTAAGGCCATCCTTCATTATGAATTCAATGTAGAAATCTCAACCATGATATTTAAACATTTGTCAATGGTAACTATTTTCATAACTCAAGTTTAAATAGTTGATATAATACTTACGATTTTTTCAGTTCTCATCAAACAGTCGACCAAGCACTAAAACACATTATCATAATTAATTAGTTGTTAACTTATATTAGAGATATTGGCAATGAATAATGAAATGTATAACTAAATTTAAAAGTTCAAAAATTTTTAAAAACCTAAATCATTATAATTATATACTCAGCTTAAAAAAAGAAAATACAGCAACTGAATAGTTTCGACTAAATTATAGATTTTATTTCACACTCAATTCAACTAATACTTAAGTTTGTTTAAATTTTTCTAAATTGAATTTGCACGTCGCCATACATAGCATAACACTCTTTTGTCGGCTCATCATTTTGTGTCAATTTAAGACAATAGTTTAAAGGAATGTTTGTCTAAAAACGCTTGTGCTAGTGTCCTTTACTTAGGCACATGTGTTTTTAAATACTCAACACTTAGGACAAACAAATAGAACGAGGTATTTAAACTGCAGTTCGTCCTTATTGTTGTCAATTTACTACAAATTAGTAGGCAAACATGTTGCCAACTGTTAGCTTCCGAATTATATGAAGGGGGTTCCACTTGGATGAAATAAATAACATTGCATACTAAAACGTTTTAAATATTTCTTTGAATTTTGTTAACACCATATCCAATATCATACTCACCATCCCTTTGTCGCTGGTAGGCACAATTTCTTTCCTCAGAACTGCCTCCATATCTACAAGTTAACGAAATTAAATTTTAGCAATAGCGGTTTAAAATAGGTACAACGGATCTAATATATATTGGTAAAAAATATAAATAGTAAAATAATTATATAGACTTATTTTTTTCGTAACTTTTGTTAATGCCATGTACTAAAAGTACATAAATAGTTTTAATTATAATCGAAAATTTTGTAATTTTAACGTCTTGAATGTTTGACTTTTACATGTCATTAAAATCAAATAACATTTGTTTCCGCTTCGCAAATTTGTTTGTTTGTGTTGTAGGACAGTTAAAATACATAAGTTAGTCTTACCTTCCACAGCACCTGTTTCTGCTACACATACTTTCCAATTTTCCTTGGCTTTGACCCAGTTATATTTCCCCTAGAATCCATATCAATATAAATTGAAAATACAATTTAGGTATTCCACCACCTATTATGTATTGTTTTAGGTTATCGCAGTCCCAGGCAGTTATATACTGTACAGTAAGTGTTTATGGGGCAAATACAATCTTATGACAAATAAGTGCATTAAGTATAATAAATTAATTTATGTTTTAATGAAATTACATAAATGTTGATTTCTATTAATTTGGACGTATACAATACAGTAATTGAAACTTCTGAAATTATATTTGTCAAGGGTGTAAACTTTATTAATAAACTTTGATGTATAAGTTTGATCAGGTAGACTAGCTCAATTTTACTTAATTAATTCGATTATTTGTATTAACGAAAGGCTAGAATGGTTCCCTAAATAAAACTTTAAGATTTTGTGATATAGTTCACTTTATACAGTTACAAGGAAATGTTTAGAATATTTAGGGGTATTTTTAAAGTATTTTTAATATGTATTCCGGCTCTAAGGGTGTTATGTAGTGTTTGAAAATATTAGAAATGATGCCCTTAAAGTTAGTATCAACAGATAAAAATATCTGGATAATATGCTATTTCTTATAATATCGCTAACATAATAAGAATCAAACTAATAAAACCTGTTTATAAATTAATCATGCATAAACACCATTGACTATACACATAAACATAAACACTGTACTATTACACTGTACATACTATTAACACTCATATTAGTTAAAGAAAAAAATATTATTTAAAATCCACCCTCAAATTGACATACCTAATCATTTGAAAACAATCTTCACAAAAGAGCAAAAATTTTATAAGTGAGCATATAAAATTACTCTCCTCCAAAAAATAGCTATAAGATAGATATTGTCTATACATTATGTTTCAAACTGAAAATTGAAACTGAATATCAAGATTAACTTCGTTAGACAATAACGAACCCAAAGATTGGACAGTTCCCTTCTAAATTGCAACAAATTCCAAAACATTGATACACACAATATACAACATTAACGGTAAGCCAATATAAACCCAATCACAACAAATACACAAACATACCTCGACAAAGGCTAAGGCAAGACAAAGTACAACAACGCAGTCAATGAAACCCATTGTGTACAGCTCACAAGACAATGATACAATATGTACCACGATGGTCAAGAGAGGTTTTATAAGTCGGAAACACATTGCATAAGGTGTCATTGGCGGAGTCATCCTTGTGACACCGGTCATCAAAGCGAATTACTATGCTAACCCCACGGATAATAACTGTGTTTTCTGAAAGCACTCTTTGGAGCCCGGCAATTAAAACTGCGGATTAAATTTGCGTGATTTATTAAGCTTTGTTTTTGCTCGTCTGACCGGCAAAAATTGTAGTCTAGCTGTGATTGTAAGTGAAAAATGTGTAATCAGGTAATTGTAGCATTTTGTAATTGTAGCACTAATTACACAGCTAAATGGGATGTGTGTTTTCTTGAATGTTGTTGTGAAAGAATGAAATACTGATTTCATAGAGGCTTAAGTTGCGATTTCAAAATATATTCTGTCTTTTAATTTGGCATGAAAACCCTTAGATCCTCAGAAAACCTTGGAGTTCTTCATCATTAAATAGTTAAGCACATTTTCATCATGTTTTCCTTTTAATTTACGAATACAAAACGTTTTTTTTTTTTGTTTATTTTCGCTTGACTCAAAACTGCAAGGATAAGCGCAAAGTAGTAAAGTACTTGGTTTTAAGGTGCAGGTCTTTAAATCCATCCATTCTGCAATCCGACCAAGGCGTTCATTGTTCATTTTAGGGTCGTTGTTCATTGTTCATTTTAGGATCGTTGTTCATTGGTCATTTTAGGATCGTTGTTCCTTAGGAGGTTCTCTTCTACCAAACTCTGTCACAGTCGGATAAAGGTTCACTCGTTTGTCGCTGTAACCACATAAATTTATGCGTCTCTGTCTTGGGGTCTCGAGTTTAAATCCTGTTAATCAACAATCGCTTTTATTTACTTTTAATGCTTCTTTGTGACTCGGTGGCAGAGCCTATCTTAAGCTGTAGGTCGACCTAGATGACCTGTACCTGTGTATGTAATCCTGTGATAATACCTGTGATGTATGTAACCTGTGCATAAGAGAATTTTCTCTATTAAAAGCCAACCAACGAATAGATTTTACTAATAGTTTAATTATGTTTGTTGCATTTCGCCTAATATTATTCAAACACATTCTTCTGTTTGCCAAACTGACATTATTAAACAAATGCTGAACAGAAATTTTAAGAAACCATTGATAAACAAAACATTTAGGCTATATGACATGTTTAACGATACCAAAATATATCAATCATTTAAATCGAATTTGAATTGAATTGAAAAATTTTTTATTGTTCTTTTCAAAATACAATAGGTACAATACAATGTATCTTCATAAACTAAGGTAATACATAAGTATTACGTAAGCTATTGTATTTATTCTAATATAAACCTTCAAATAGTTCCTTTAGTTGTCATTGTCAGTGTTTGAAATGTAGTTTATTTTTCCACATAAATAAAACCACACAGACTATCTAAACAGGATTAAAAATAAAAGACTTTTTGATCAGCATAGAACGTGTTATTAAATTTACGAGAAGTAATATAAAAATACGTCTAATAACACTTGAAACATATTACGTGTAAATAATACATTTCAAGTGTCATTAGAAGTATTTGTATTTACTTTAAGTATTGATATGTTAAAAATAAGTGTTATTGTTAAACAAAAACCACACCACAAAACATTGAAATGTTTACAACATGATGGTTAATCTTTGTTGATATTTTCCCCGCGACGACAGTTTGAGTCTAGACATATAAACAGAACAAAACAAGTAGATGTAATTCTGTGTAATCACGTTGTATGCTACTGACATAATGTGCACTTTGGCTTTCAAACCGTCTGCGCCATGCATTAATTAAATTACCCATTTTATTGTAATTAGAATGTTTGTACAAAAAGTCATGCAACTATTGACTGAGAGAGAACGTGGTTAGGAGACTGCAGTTATCTTATTTTACATTACATTCGAACATTTCATGTATCTTTAATCAACCCACTTTTTAAGGTTAAAAATGTCTACTTTGCTATTTGATCTGTGATGCTAGGGGTCTGATAATACCTAAATAGGAATGATAAATCTAACACCATACGCTTTCTAAAACATCCAATATAATTGTTACATGGCTAAAGGAAACTGCTCTTAGTCACTTACGGTTTGAATTTAATATAGTACCTATGGCTCATTGTTAAAAATTAGTTCACTTAATCAAAGAATCACAAAATTAAACGATAAAATATTTGTTTAACGCATATCACAACACAAGATATCGAAGATTTTGGTCCTTCGAGCAGGATTTTGATGCCACCTTTTATCACTTAACTCATACCCTATCTTTACAGGGAGTAGGCTCCTACATGAATAAACAACCTACAAATCAACCAAGGGATTAATCAATATCCATCCAGGTTTTGAATTATTTCACACAAATTTTTGTAGTTTTAGTAAATGGAAAATACATTCAGTCTTGGCTACTATACGAGCTAAATAATAACTCTATTTATAACCAGATCAGCTGTGCTATCAGAATGTGCCCCGATCCGTCTGTTGAGGTTGGGTGGTTTTTATAACGGTTGATGAAGCTATCTTGAATCGCTTGTTTGAAAACCGGCGAAGATAAAAACTTTTGCATTTCATTAACATGTTCAGGTTTCCGTGTAGGGATAAGATAGCCGTGCTTTATGGAGCTCCTTTTTGCGTCCTGTTCTTCATCTTTTGAAATACGAAGGTCATTGGCTTGTATCGTGTGTAATTTATGAGTCATTGGTTTTTAGTGTTTATTTGTACGGGAAAACTTATCTCAACTATTCTACCATTTATTTATGTAATTCTAACCCCCCTCGCAAATTTTATTAAATCAAAAGTTACTAAGCCACTCTTATCTTACTAATATTATAAATCTGAAAGTTTGTGAGTTTGTGTGTGTGTTTGTGTGTGTGTTTGTGTGTGTTTGTGTGTGTGTTGCTCAATCACGCATAAACTACTGGACGGATTGGGCTGGAATTTGGCATGATGATAGCTCACATTCCCAATTAACATTAAAGCATATTTTTATCTCAAAAATCCTTTTGGGCTCCGCCCCAGTGGCTATGTAGTTCCCTATGTTAATCTTATGAGTATTCATATTTAAAGGGAATTAAAGAATTTAGCCAGCTGTTTCAACTTTACAAGTTGGTTCTATAATATCATAGACAAAATGATTTTGTCTATGATAATATGCAATAGCATTAAAAAGTTATAAGGTTTCCCAACAGGGTGCAACACAATTTTTATTTTATTTTTGCATATATGACAACAGCTAATTTGAACTAAGCAGCAACAAAAAGCTGTGATACACAATGAGAACTGTCAAAGTAAGATTGTTTACAGTTAGGTTTGAGTTTTTAATTTAATGTATAATTTGTGATATTGTGCGAATGATTGATAATTTTTTTTCTATTGTTTAGGTGCAGTGGTAGAACATTATGGCAATGGTAGATGTGTTATACTATATCAAACCGTAAATCTATGAACCAAATTTTATCAAACTGTGTCCTCCCCCCATTGCAAACGCAAAGCTTGAGTATAACTGCAATAAGCATTTTATACTTATATATGCCAACCCCGTACGAAGGACGGGTGCTCTGCTAGTATATATTTTTTGTTTTATTCAAATTGCTGTATAGTTGATCAAAATGCTAACCAAAATGTAAACACGTCCATGTAAATGAAGCAAAGGTAGTGTTTTTCTTTAGGTTGTCATAAAGACCAACGATTATTTGGGTACCAAAGAATTTTTGATTCAATTTGTCATTCGATCCAACGGCGAAAGCGACCAACGTGCCTGTGGTAATCGAAACCGTGATTTATCGATATATCGATTTATCGACAGTGAGGAACGTGGACAAGAATCCATGTCTTCAATCTTTATCAATCGTTCTTTTCAGTGAGAAATATTTTTAGTGCCGTCAACACACGACTACCCACACGACACTTAACTGTCGAAGACGGGAAAGCAATATTTCAAGAATATGACGTACCATCGAATGAGTTATGCAGGATTCATCATACAATAATAAGCCTATGGTGTTAATAATAATTGTTGTACGAAATTTGACTCTGTAACTTTCAATAACAACTATGATGTCTTTAAAATTAATATTCATACCGTAAGTTTATTTAGGATAAAACTGTTTTATTAACGAACTAGAATACGCCGGCTTTGCCCGACATAGCTGTGCGAAGATAAGTAAATTAAATAAGGTGACCCATGCGCATATTGCACAGTTTAATACAATCCAAAATTTCTTTCTGAGGCAAAATTAAGCAACAGTACAATGTCGGTACCTTTTTAAGATTATGCTTGCTTATTAGGTGAATAGAACAACTTAATTACAATAATTTTTTTGATTTCAGATCTAGGTACACTTTAAAGAGTGACTAACCTACCTCAATCAGGTCAAAGATCTAAAAAAACTGTAGAATATTTTAAATACACTAAATTGTTTCACCTCTTGTTTACAACCTTTCCGTAGTTAATTGTAAATATTCAACTAAAGGAACAGCTGTTAAATTACCATTCACAATAATAATGCTTTTGTGGCAAATAAAACAAGGTAAATGTACAATCAGTTAATTTATTTTGATTTCACGAACCAATCAAAACCATACCTTATAGGCGAATGTGATGATTGAAGTGACCAATCAGAGTTCAATATCCAATTGCATGATCACTCTTATAAAAGAAGGGGTAAGATAGGGGCATATTTAAATCTCTTATTCTTTGAGTGTTAGTTTATATTAAAATACTTGAAAAAGATAATGTATTTTATAAATTTGGTTTATCTTTTTTATCAAATTAATATCACAACAATCTAAATGGTTTCATATTCGTGTAAGTGTTTTGACTCCAAGGAATGGAGAGGATTTTTTGGTTAACTTTAAAATAAACTTTTAGGGTCGACACTTTAATTACCAGATAATACCCGGTTCATTTAACGGTACAACAGGAATTAATTTTTTTTATTGTAATACAACGTGATTCAGAGGCTATAAAGATCCAATAGCGGGTT